TTGTGCCATGGATTTCACATATGATGTCCATGAATTTTAAAGACACATTTTGATACCAAGAACGCGCTTACTTTCAAACAGGGGGAAACACTATTTTAGGTTTTGTGTGAAAATAAGTCCAGGACTACAAATGTGCTTCGCGAAAATGACGTCATGAAACGGACACGGAGGAAACTGAGGGAAAAAGGCTGTAAGTTCAGCAAACTTCCCACAGGAGGAAAGAACCCCCATAAATCTGGTCATGTGGTAAGTAGCAGCTACGCTAGGGGAGAGGAGATTATATGGCAACGTCAAATATGCGACATGCCGATTTGTAGTTTGTAGTCATGCTAATTACGAACTTTTACAAGCTGATAAGTACGTGACTGGCGTGGTCGAAACACCCATCATAACTTTTCATTTAAATTGCAGTACAACATATGTGCAATCCAGGGCGTAAAGCAAAGCAAATTAGATAATAGAGTTTTTAGCCCCGTTGACTTGCATTCTTTTTTTTCGTTCTTCTGTGGACCCATGAGCCGACCGGAAAGGGAGGAGACTTAGGCTCCTTATTTCCTGTGGTTAATGCCGGCAATGGTGATGAAGAAAACTTTCACGTTCAGCTTGTGCAACTCCGAGTGACTCGATGTATTTCTAAAAGAAAGTGGTTTCAAATGGTTTATCTGTGAATGTGACCTTTACAATAATCCAGATCCACTGTCATCATATTCTCTTTAAATCTGAATTAGAAGGTATGCAGACCTGTTATGACATTATGCCATTTTACCATCAAAACCTAAAGTCATCCCATTCTTAATCTTAAATGATTCAACAATCACATTACACATTTCTTATTTTCAAATTACTTTTCTTGTGAAGCACCTCGTGATTTTTATCTTGTGATGTGTTATATAAATGATAGTTTCTTTTTTTCTTCATTTTTGAATAACAATTTTTTTCCCCCCACATTTTTGGTTTTTCAATTATGATATATTTATCATCATCATCATCCGTGAGAGTGGGGGTGGTGGTGGGGGGGTAGCACACGTTCCGCTGCTATTTCTCACCAGTATCAGTTGATGGAGGGCTATAGTTTCATTGTGCCGTTCGTGTCAGCGGACATGGTAGGGTCAGGGAGAGGGGGCGGGGCATGATGCTTAGCCTGGGGGGTGGGCAAGTAAAGCCTGGCGGGCCGCCAGGTTTATAAAGCGCTAGGGGAAACCTTATATATATATATATATATATATATATATATATATATATATATATATATATATATGTATGTATATATATATATATATATATATATATATATATATATATATATATATATATATATATAATGTGTGTGTGTGTGTGTATATTGTTCTTATGTAGCGCCTCACAATTGTCATCTTGAGAGGCGCTATATAAAAAATTGTGTCTTCAATACATCTACAAATAATATGATTAGTGGAGAAAAGTAGACTAAATTCACTCAAGTGTATAATAGAACTATTGAAGGAACCTCATTCAGTGTCAAACCATAGAATTGGAAAATAAAGGACCTATTTTTAGTTATTATTGCACAACTGATGCAGTGAAAATCCCTCAAACCTTTATAAGTGCTTGTGTAACCGCTATGCACTAGAGTTTTTTCCAAGAACAGACTATTTAAAAGCCGTGATTAGAGTCACGGCTAAAGAGACAGTGGCAGCACATAGCAGTAGAACACAGACCCGTACGTGTGCTCGGTACAGTAAACCAAACATCCAGTGAAACAAAAAGACGTGAAATACGTCCAAAACTTAGAGGACAGCAATTATGACAAATAGAGAAGCAGCCATGCCAAAAGACATTCTTCCACAGATAAAAACCTCTCCACATTCAGTAAGAACAATAGAAACTTCTATTAGTCTTTGCTGCTTCACTGAAAAATACTGCACGCTCTGAAACCGTTTATCCTTCCATTTTCTTTGCCCCTTAAAAGCTGAAGTGTGATTTTCTTGCAAAGTCATCGTACATCGTGGAGAGTCTATCCAAGCATTCACACCTACAGGCAGAGAGTGTGGGAGAAAACCCACGGAGACGGTAGCTGAAGGATTATTTCTCTTTAAAAATCATAAATGCCACTTCTACTGCCATGGCCCTGTCGTTAATCATCTGTGGCTGCCTGTTTTGAAATGCTGAATGTCTTGAAGTAGATAGAAAGATTAAGACTATTCCCTCAGGGTGACATTTTAAGAATGATTTAAGACATTGCTTGGCCTTCACCGGAGACTTGTAAAAGGCCCTATGAAGGTGTGTTCAAGAAGCAAGTGAGGTGTTTTTGATATCGCACCAGATTTATGCGATTCAGGTTTCCAATTTAGTTTCATTAACCGCTAACTGATTTTAGATTTATTTTTTTACTACATCTGAATGATTGAATACAAATTTTTCTGAACATTAACATTACACGTCTTTAGAACCGATGTTTGCCCTTTTTATAAGGAATGCTTTTAGTCATTTCAACCAGGGGTGCACAAAGTTATGGTGACTGCAATATCAATGTGTGCAATATTAATACAGTGATCCCTCGCTACTTCGCGGTTCGTTTATCGCGGATTCACGACTTCGCGACTTTCTTTGGAGCCTTATTACAGGGAAATTCGTCGATTCGCGTTATTTTTCACCGATTTGCGTATTTTTCTATGCGAAATATCAAGAAATTCCTGTTTTTTTTTCATCAATTTCATCAAAAAAGTACATTAAAGGGTGGTTTGTTAACAGTTCTATGTAAAGGGAGGGATTTAAAAGTCTGAATACTGTACGTACCTGTTAAATAAATACTGTAAATATGGTGTCCCTACTTCGCGGATTTTCACCTATCACGGCCAGGTCTGGAACACATCTACCGCGATAAACGAGGGATCACTGTATTGCATTAAATCATATAATACATTTGGCTAAAATAATGTACAGCATTCTTATAGGCTGTCTTTCTGGTGTCTGGTAGATTTAATTTGTACAACACCTAATTTTATAGTTGATGGGTGTGTTTCCTGGCTGCGTCCCATAAGCGCAGTGTCGCTTCACTCCACTAAATTTATGCTTCAGGTCTGTTTTGTATGCACTACACTTCCAGAATGTGTCAAGCTCAGAAGCCCAGATCTGGCCAAAAGGAAGTCAAACTCTGCAGCAGTGTAAAACACCTGAAAACTTTCTAAATAAAAGTCACGTGCAGATTTCGAGTCGCTTAACCCTCCCACTGCCTTAACTTTCCCAGCGAGGAAAGTTGACCATTGAGCAGGATTGATGGTTTATCCCTTGAGGTTCATGTGGCAGGGGTGAGGTGGTGCTCACTCCTCACCCCTGCCACATGGACCCAATAATGGTCACATGGACCCAATAAGGGGTGAGGAGTGAGCACCACCTTACCAAAATCATCAATATTAGAAACAATAAAAGGCTTGACTTACTTCAGTTGTGTGTAATGACTCTTAAGATATATGAAAGTCTAATGTTTATTAGTACATTAGAGACAATAATGAACTTTATCACAATATGCAAATTTTTTGAGAAGGACCTATATATATATATATATATATATATATATATATATATATATATATATATATATATATATATATATATATATATATACAGGTCCTTCTCAAAAAATTTGCATATTGCATCTAGCCAGTCAGAGAGGTGACAAAGGAGGTATCTTCCTTGGACATACTACGATTCCAAATTATGCTCCTGTGAAATTCTCCACACTTGGCCGTTCTCCTCCGTGCCTCCTGGCAACGCCCACTTTCTTAGCCTTTTTCAAATTCTAACTAGGGGAGGAGTTACGTTTTCTGATGGTATGCAGTCCCTCTTTAATGAGTCATTCAGAGCTATAACAGCAGGTTAACAGCAAGAACAATACTTCCTGTAATCCTGGAGCCATATTACCATATTAAATGTAGTAAGTGCTCCCTACCATAAAACACACAAGAGTGCCAACACCAGATATGACAATGTATTTACCTACTTATCAACTGACACGTCTTTGGTTGTCATCTAGAATCTTCTGGTGCTGATCCATAAATGGTAACAGCCATGAAACTCACAGAACGGCAGTGTGAAAGTGATTGCAGTAACCCAGTTAGACCACAGGATGCTATTCTTACATACTGCACCTTTAATGTTCACCTCTTGACAGAACAAGTCTTTCAGTTGTTAAAAAAAGGTGGAAAGGTCATCTGTTTTTCCACTCAAAGGTGTCCAGTTACCCACAAGGCTTTCATTATGCCGTATAAACTGCTAGAAATGACATGAAACAGGAGTATTTCCTGTATCTCTGTTCATGAACTGGAGGTTTACTACACTGTGTAATACCTTCTTGTGTTGAAAAGGTGACACAACACATTAAAGAAGAGCCAGAAAAAAAAAACCAAATACACAAAGCCTTCTTTAAATTACTACAAGATGATACATCAAATTTTAATAAAGGTCTGCTGATTCTAAATGACGCTTGTGGGGAAAACAACTCCTTCCCAACACACACAACCGAACAATGAGGTGCGTGTAATTAAGCTGTAAATCTGCCGTTCTCCCGATCCAAAATGCTTTGTGTCAACCTTGGTTGTGACAGAATCAGTGACAAGCAATCTGTCACCTGCTTCAGGTTTGGGCTTAAATATTTCAGCAGCCTTCAGGAAAAGTGCTGAAGCGGCTCGGTGCGAATTCTGCTGCTTAGCAATTAAAAAGAATCGGGAAGTCGTGGAGACAGCAAAAGGTGTGTGGATCAACTTCCTTACATAAACTTTAACGTGGAGCTTCGTAGTAAGGGCAAAAAACTCAGCATGCAGCCAATTATCACCGGAAAAAAAGGAATATTAGAATTTATCTGCTTTTCTTAACAAATTAACCTAAGAAAGCTCCGTGCTCAGTTACATTCACGTTCCATGTCTTCATTACGCAACACAAAAAATATAAAAATAAATAAAAAAACAGGTGCATGAGCAAATTTCACCAGCTTTCAGCAAAAGTGATGAATAGTATTTTCTTACCTGTGACTGAGAGCTCTGTAGTCCTCCGAACAACAAAATTCCCAAAAGGCAGTTCGCAGGTGTAATTCCCAATGTCATCCTCCCTCACTTCTTGGATGGACAGAATGTCCCTTCTTCTTTCTATGGTTTGCCTCCACTGCTTTGGCTTGCATTCCTTTTATTTAAATAAAAGAGATAAAAGCAGGAGATGTGGTTTGTTAGTAAAAAAAAATACTCCAAATTAGTCCAAATTCAAATTAAAAACTATGTATCTGCAACACAAAAAATGTAGTCTTCAGAATTTGTTTCAGCTTTCAAAAGGACAGGATGAACAGAGGCGGATTTAGCAATTTGGGGGCCCAAGGTGAACACAGACATGGGGCCCCTTACACTAAATTTTCGACAGTCTTACCTTTAACTGGATTTGCCAAACTCTCCCCTCTTCTGACATGAGTTATTTTCCCTTTTTATTAGTCCTCCTCTTTTTTCCTGTATTTCCCTCCCTTTGAGCGCTTTCAATATTTGCTCTGCTTTCTTTTTCCTGTCAGTGCTCCTGTGCTTTTGCCTTTGTTTACTTTTTCTACTTTCCATTTTGGTCCATGTTTTTCTCCCTTTAAAAATTTTCCATTGTCTTTCCTTTATTGCTTCCTTTGGTGTTTACATCGAAAAACGACGTCACTTTCAGAAGTGAAAATAAAAGCTTTTATGAAGCATGCTGCTTCTTTCTCCTATTGGAGCCACTAGGATAACTCCATTTCATGCTTAATGTTTTGACTATCACTTTGAGTTTGTTACGAACGCTCCAGAACCTCTCAAAACATCATTCTCACTGCCATCCAATACATCCATGCATGCAATGTTTGACGCCTGACCACCGTCATCTTAAAATTCGCATAACTCTGCCTCAGTACTGTTAACTTGCCCCACCTTTGGTCCACTCTGCTGGACCTCTCATCTCCATTTTTTCTCCTGTTGAGAACATACAGCCTGGCGCCCTCTGCTGTTACGGGGGCGAAATGGTTCGACCCCGATTATAAGACACCCCACATTTTAAAATTATTTTCAATGAACAAAAACCTTGTTTTATATTTGGGTCAATACAGTACTTTATTTTGTAACTTTTGCATACATACAAAGTGTCATATCCAGTGTTAGCACACACTGATGTTTTGGTTTAGTCGGGTGTATGTTTGGATTTTGCGACATGCGGCGTGGGACGTTTTACGGCACCACGGAAGTTTGGGACCTGAAGCTGTAGTAGTGTGCGTGTGTTAGAGCTGTTATTAAAGTGAACATAACAGTACAGTCTCTTCATTCACTTCACACGAAGTAAAATAGTGCACAGACTGTTGTAATGCTGGCAACACTTTGCTGTTTTTCGCTTAAATGTTGTTTGGAGGTTCAATGTTGTGTCAACAATTTTTATTTTCTAATGAATTTCCAGGATTTAGTTTCTTCATTAATTAACTGGCTGAAATGGTTGGTTATAAGTTGAGAAACAAAATTGCAGAAACAATAACTTTTATGTCAACCACATAAAATTTGTATGAGAATTTCACATGAGTCAAAACACTGAAAAAACAGGGAAATTTGTGCACAAATCTCATAAATTATTCTTAAACTGTTTGCAAATATTCTCATTTTTAATACACTCTTGCACATGGAATACCTATCAGTTTGCTGGTGTCACTGGTCACCAACACCTCCCAAAGTTGTCTCATATTTCTTTCAATTTCTGATTTACGGAAACCAAACAGTGTTCCAGGCCCCTGTTACCACTAGAGAAAGCTTGTTTATCATTTTGTTTTTCAATTTGGTTTAAAAAAAACTGTTTCAATGTTTTATGATAGTTAAAGTAGAATAACACAGCCTCATTATCTAATTTTTTATACATCAAAGTCAAAGACCTGCTTATAACTACAGCAGACATTTAACTTATGTGCACAAGAGAAGAAAGTAAGTAAAGATTTTCAGGAACAGCTTAGACCCTTCAGGTTTTTGGACCACCTGAGGTACAGAAAACTGGGTCACTGGGTTGGCCTCTCAGAATTTAATCAGCCACAAGCCAAATGAGAGCCAGTATGTGGAGGCCGAGAGGCCCGCAGTCATCATCTGTTATTTTAATTTGATTTTTTGGAGAGCAAAGTGACTTGGCCATCTAATTCTGCAGACTAACATTTGATGAAATAATCTATGAGCTGCAGTTAGCAGTTCTGTCAACGTGGTCTGTCGGGCATAGTGGCTCTGACTGGGTCAGCTAAAACCTGGGACCCGCACCTTTTTATTGGGAGCATTGAGTTGAAAATACAGGAAGATGTCTCAATGTATGTTTAAAAGAAATATTTTTAGGGTGTTGATGTCCGTTAATAGTTAAAAATGAAAATGCCATTTGAATTAGGGTTGCTTGATTTAATTAACATGTGTATTGCAATATCAGTGTGTGTAATATCATTATTGCTAAGAACAACTTGGACTGCAATAGTTTTATACTTAAAGTGACAATGTGTAGTTTTTACAATTAATCTCTGGAAATATCAACTGAAATGTTGTTGTAAATAAGATGCCCAGTTGTTGAAACATATTAGCGGTTTCACAACTTGTAACTATAAAAATCGAGTCTAAAATACATGGGAACGGGTCTAAGTCTCTGGGCGACGCCATATTGGCTGCCATGTTTCCTTCTACGGATGCCCATGAGGGCAGACAGCAATTACTGATTTGTAACAAATGGTTACAAAACGTTCAGCATTAATAAACACTCTTTTATACATTTACCTCTTCACTAATCGCAAGTGATGAAAGGGAATAGGATGTTCTTGTTGTTTTGCTGGAGGTTGCACTCCCAAGGATTTTTGACTCTAATGGGCATCTGTTGGCAATGTCTTACTTGAACACAAAAATAATGCTTGCTTGCAATGATTTAGGTATCTACTGCCCCCTATCGCCAGGCAAACTACACACTGTCACTTTAAGTGAACACATTAACATAATATCTGTCCAATCAGATAGACTTTTACAGCCTATGTTGCTCAGACCTAGCTTAGGTGATCATGAACCATAAATATTACAGTAACTGATATTATCATAACATTCAACATTAAAGTGACAGTGTGTAATATCCCTGGCAATTGGGGGGCAGTACATACCTAAATCACTGCAAGCAAGAGGTATTTTTGTGTTTGAGTGAGACCTTACCAACGGATGGCCATTAGGGCCAAAAATCCCTGGGAGCTCAACGTCCAGCAAAATGACAAGCACATCACATTCCCTTTTATCATTGGCAGTGAGCGGAGATAAATGTGTACAATAACATGTATGCATGGTAAAAGTTTTGTAGTAATTTGTCACAAATCAGTAAATGCATTTGGTCCTCATGAGCTCCCGTAGACGGAAACATGGTGTCACCCAGAGACTTCGACCCTCTTCCTTTTATTTTAGACCCGATTTTTATGTTTAAATGTTATGAAGCCACCAATACTTTTCAACAATTGGGCATCATTTATCTTATTTCAACACCATTTCGATGGATGCTTCCAGAGACTATGTCTGTTTAAGATGAAGATGAAGATGATTATTTCTAATATCAAGCAGCCAAAAACCCAGAATGCCACTAGGTTGGGGCTGTTTGTGAGGGTTCTCAATTTATGTGTTAATCTGGGGGGTCTTTCTGTTGTGTCGAAAAAAAACAATTATGCGACGTCATCCTATGTATGCAAATATATAGACTTGCCATGGCCATGACCCATAGACAGAGCTTTGTCAGAGGATGAAATAAACATTTGTTTCTGCACACAATTGGACAGCGCTAGGACCAACCAGATCAACAAACATGAGGTATTCATCACTACAGGTTACTTAATTGTTTGCCATCGCAAATGCTCTCCAAAAGTTAAAGGCCAGTGAGATATGGACTTTCCTAAATGCTGTTTAACCTGAATACAACACAATTACAATCAAGAATAAATCCCAGTGAGAGTTGGACTCCGCCAAGGCTGCCCTTTGTCACTGATTCTGTTCATAACCTTTATGGACAGGATTTCTAGGCACAGCCAAGGTGTTGAGGGTTTTCATTTTGGTGGCCTAGGGATCAGGTCTCAGCTTTTTGCAGATGATGTGGTTCTGTTGGCTTGATCAGAATGTGATATTTGGCTTTCGCTGGAGCGGTTCGCAGCCGAGTGTGAAGCAGCTGGGATGAGAATCAGCTCCTCTAAATCTGAGACCATGGTCTTGAGTCGGAAAAGGGTAGAATGCCTTTCACCAGGTCAGGGATCAGGTCCTGCCCCAAGTGGAGGAGTTTAAGTATCTCAGGGTCTTGTTCACGAGAGAGGGAAAGCTGTAGCATGAGATTGATAGGTGTACTGGTGCTGCATCTGCAGTACTGCGGGCATTGTACTGGTCTGTCGTGGTGAAGAGAGCTGAGTCAGAAGGCGAAGCTCTTGATTTACCAGTAGATCTATGCTCCTACCCTCACCTATGGTCATGAGCTTTGGGTAGTGACCGAAAGAACGAGATCGTGGATACAAGCGCCCAAAATGAGTTTTCTTCGCAGAGTGGCTGGGCTCTCCCTTAGGGTGAGAAGCTCGGTCATCCGGAAGGGGCTCGGAGTAGATCCGCTGCTCCTCCACATCGAGAGGAGCCAGTTGAGGTGGCTCGGGCATCTGATTAGGATGCCTCCTGGACGCCTCCCTGATGAGGTTTTCCGGGCACGTCCAACCAGCAGGAGGCCTAAAGGAAGACCCAGGACACGTTGGAGGGACTATGTCTCTCACCTGGCCAGGGAACACCTTGGGATTTCCCCGGAAGAGCTGGCCCAAGTGGCTGGGGAGAGGGAAGTCTGGGCCTCTCAACTTAGGCTACTGCCCCCGCGACCCGACTCCAGATAAGCAGAAGAAAATGGATGGATGGAACAAATCACATTAAATAGTGTGCAACTATATAAGAAAATCATTTGTCTTACCTTGTACCATACTATTTCAGGTTCCACCCCCGGCTGTACATAATCCTCAATGTTTGGGCAGGTAATCTCTTTGCTTTTGCTTAGTTCTGCCTTCTCAAAGAACCTCATTTTAGAGTTGTAACAGAGCTCTGTGTCGTTCTCCGCCACCGTGAGAGACATGGACACCTTCATGCAGTACGTGGAGTTCCTGCAATGAAAGATAACTTTTACTCATTGATCAGATGTAAATTCCATTCATTTCTACATTCTTACAACATTTTCTGCTACAAATGAATGACAAATGCATAAAAAGCCTACAAGAGGTGGTTTTGTTTGTTTTTGTGTAAATTCCGTGTCTAAATGTGTACGTTTCAAAGGCAAGGAGATTGGTGGGTGATGTGGAGCAACAGCTCTTAATGTCAACATCTCCTGGAGATTGATGGGGCTCCTTTTGTTTTCCCGCATTAGGCAGATATAGTGTCAGCTACAGTTGCAGAAAATTACTTTGCTACAAGCGATGTACTGTAACATCTCAGGTCATATACATAAAGACAAGAGTTTATAATGCGGGGATAAGAGAGGGTGTAAAATGCAAGATTACTTGTAACATCTGGAGAGTTCATGCTTGCCTGTTTCCAAAAATAATGGTTAGAATTCATCGTCAGTGGAACAAACATTTGATACCACTGCTTGGTGGTCATGCTTTACGATTCTTTCTTCTCTGTGTGGAACTGGATATTTAGAAATACAACCCACAGTATGAAACTCTTTCTGGGAACCACGAGTGTTTTTGCTGCTGAATTTGTGAATTTTTACATACATTTACCAATAGATTTCCTCCTTTTAATGAATCTAGGTCTATTTTTTTCCAGTACTTGATTTCGTTAGCGAGTTTGGGATTGCAATATTGTTGGATTGGATGAGAAGGTTTTTCACGGCGGTCGGACTCTACCATCTCCATCATTTTTCACCAATCTTGTAAGACCCGTTGATTTTTGAAGAGCTGAATTGAAGCCCAGTAGGCGTCTCCCACCACCGCCATCTTGGCTTGCATGCATCTCATCACTCCCAGAAAATATAAAAATGGAGCAGAAAGTGGGGCTGTGAGGCCAGATGATTGATATCCCAAAAACTCTGAGAAAATGTAGCTACACGCTAATCAAAGTTAACAGAGGTTGGCGAGTACTTTCAGGCAGAAAACCTTGTTATATCTCCTGTGAAGTTGGCATTTTTAACAGTGGGAGTCAATGGATGTTGCTCCTTTCTGGTGCCAGCCCCAGGAGGATGAGGGGGGAACTGCAATTTTTGTCACTTCCGATGTCGGTACCAGATCGGCTTGGGGTCCTGCGTCTGCAAACTACGTCACAGTAGATGACTGGCTGAACGTAAGACTTAAAGAAGTCACGGTACTATGTTCGTAAAAGTTACTTTAGCACGTTTACAATGATGATTTTGATGGGTCGGAACGAATTTACGGTTGTATTCCCAAACTCTACATTGTTCGGAAAAACTAGGTTTGAATTTCCAAAGGAAGTGTAAAATAAAAGCTAAGATATCAACTGATAAATGATGACCCTCAAAAGCTCTTGATTTTGATGAAATGGGGCAAAATTAAATATAGGAACTTTATTGAAAAGACACCTAGCAACATTTTGAATGAATGTATTTACATAACAACTAAGGAAATATAATTCCACATTAATACAAACAGATATGGCTTCACATATAAGAGCTGTTGTGTTTTGTTTGGCCGTGTGATGTTGGTTTTATGTAGTTTCACATTCTTTACAAAACAAAGATAATATGGTGTTTTAGTAACAAATTACAATTATTAAGAAATATTTAGGTGGTAACAAACAAGAATTTATTAACGAAACTGCCGACGTCTCCAAAACTTAAGTGTGAAAGCTGAGCGGATTTGCTGTAATGTGACGTCATCAGCGAGCGCAGGACCCCGAGCAGATCAGGTACCGACACCGTGTTGGCTTCCCTTTTGGCTTCACTTAGTGAAAATCAATTGATTGCTTCCTGAAAGTTTTGTTAAAATATGTTTGGTACTTCAAAAGATATCCTGCTAACAGTTAAGAGTTGATTTACAGTAGTTGAGGACAAAGTTTTAGGTCAAGATCCTGCAAAAGGTGCAGTGCTCTGAAAGAGTGTTGGTTGCTGCGACACCAAATTACAACTTACCATCTGTCTGGCCTTTTTTTTAAGTGTTACCTAATGTTGATCAGTTAGGTTCATCAGTTACAAACATACACCCAATAGCCCTTGTAGACGGTGGACTGTATCACTTGACTTTAGAAAGTATTTAAAGCAAGGCTGCTTTCCATTCTTTGAGGAAGTTGTACTTGCAACTACTTTCTTTGGTGAAAACAAACTTTCTGAGAGTTTCGTTAAAACTAGTCAGCAGTAAAGACTAGTAAAAACTAGGTATGTTCACACCAAGTTTCTACTAAAGCACCTGTATTGGTTTGTACTCATCTCTGTAGTCTACATTTGTACTAATCAATTATCGGTATTGCTCTTTCATCGGGAGCACCTGTCGTTAAATACTAAGCCAATCCTAGCTGAGCATTTTCATGTGTTTATTCAGGAGCTTGTAACGATCCCGATCACATCTATTCCTGCCCAGCATAAAGTCTAAGATTGGACCAGCTGCCTGAGTAATTCTTAACAGAACATAAAAATCCATTTCCGTATCGATTCGCTGTGAAAGTCGCGCTATTTCAAGGAGGAGATAAGAAGCAAAGGTTGTGGATGATCAATGAATTCGATGGAAGCACCTTTTCTTTGCTCAAACTGCCTAATAAGACTGTCACAGTTGACAAGCACTCTCCAGCAAATCCCCCCTGGTTTAAAGACCAAACAAATTGGCAGCATTTAGGAAAATCTCACTGCTAATTTTCCAACCAAAGCTGGTCACACAAATTGAGCTGAATCAACAAACAATTACAAATATGTTAAATCCAAGCATAATTGCACGGTATTAACAGCCTCGTGGATTAGTGCAACACACGCTGGTCTTCAGCTTTACAATCCCTTGCCCCTTCGACTGGCCGGCTCCTCGTGTGACAAGAGCTTTTTCATGATGCAAATGTGACATGATGTGGAGATTATCTCAGACAACTTCTACCAGATGGACACCTGTGCAAATGAGATCCCACGGGTGCGCTCTGGTTTCTATGAAATATTCTGAGCCTTGCTGATAAACTCGCCGGCTGGAGGAGAGAGAAGGAGAAAAAAAATGGTGTCATCTGCTCGGCTTGAGTGATTGATGGTGTGAGCCAACACTTTGTCCTACGGTGTCTTTCCAACATTTCACATCCATCACAACACCTTCAGAGGCTGAGGAGTCGTGCCTATTTGCTCAGCGGGAATCAAACAACAATCAAGGAGCCTTTTAAAGAGAATAAGCAGAAAACCACCCCGCTGCAGCACATCCCAGAGACGTAATTGCACACGGTGCCCTGAGTATTTGTTAAAGTCGGTACAGTTACAGTGGTAACAGGCGGGATGACACCATGGCATTAATGGGGGAGCGTGTCAGTCCGATGTGTCAAAGGAAAGCAGATATGCAACGCTGGGGCAATGATAGATGGCATCCTGCATACATCATCCTGTAGAGGTGTCAGCCTGACAGCTATGGGATACAGCTGGAGGGCAGGCAGAAGGTTTGAGATGCAATGTGCAGCAAATTCACTGAAATTAGGTGCAATGGCCAGTTAGGAGTTTAGAAGACTGGTGGGAAAGTGTTGACACCGCTGGCTCTTGTGCCTTAAACCTGCAGATATATTCGACCTTCATGTATTGATTGATTATAAATCTACCCCAGCAGAAGGTTAAACTGAAGGAAACCTGCCCCTTAACTTAGCAACTCCTCCATTTCATATTAAATAATAGGCTACAGCATAGATTTGATGAATCTCATGAGAATCAAGGGTACCTGTGGGGGAATTAATGAGCTAGTTTAATGAATATCTTAATTAAACAAACTGTGCCCTAATAGTCATTGGATAATGAAATAATTGCAGATTAATTACAGATGACTTTCAAATAATGATAATGTTCTTGGAGAAGTGTCCTAGAGAGAAGCAAAGGTGCAATGGTTAGCTTCAAGTAAAGCTTTCTATATCAAGGCAAATCAGCCGATCACAGATGCTAATCTTTTGGGGATAGATTTTAACCTTTGCTTCACTTTATACTAAACTAATATTTACGTCTTTAACCCTTTGATGCATAATGGTCACTACAGTGGACAGGTACTCAAAATTGTTATTTATTTATTTATTTTTGCTATTAAGCACAGCTGTTGAAGACTTTATTGCATTTGAGCCCCTCGATTTGGACTTCAGTAAGCCAAGTCAACATATTTCATGTTCTGAATGCACGCTGTCCACTGAGGTGGACATGTAATAAACTATTTGTAAATTATAAAATTTTACAAAAAATATTTGTTGAAATTTGTTTCATCCACATCTAAAGATGAATGAAAAAAATTGATAAAAAAATCATGGTTGAAGATTTCATAATTCATGCATCAATGGGTTGAAATTTAGATGAGTGGAAAGGTTACTAAAGCAGTTGCTGTTAGCTTAAATTGATCATTTATAACTGGAATGACAAACTCATTGCTAGCTAGGTAGCTAAGACTGTGACAGTGACCAAAGTGGATAACTGTAGTCCTAAAATTCTTCCTATTTTAAAAAAAAACTTTTTAAACTAATGTGGATAGGATTCTGTGCGCATTTATTGTTACTTACATAGATTCAGAGTGGATTGAGCAGCTAGCTGTAGCACTTCCTGTAAAATCGACTTGACTTCCTGCTGGACTTCAATATTTAACCAAAATAACCACATAAGGCACATTTGATAAAGTAAAGGTTTCTAAGAAAGTATTCATTTTAACTACAAATTGTCTGACATTAGAGTTCTTTTGAAAAGGCACTTTGGCCTGGCCATTAGTCGTTAGCTCCTCAAATAAACTTATTTTCACAAATCTAGGGATGAGTGGGTAGAATCAAAAATTTTTGTCAATTTTTATGATAAAATCCCAGATGGCAGCATTGTTGGGAGCTCTCCAGATACATGTTTCAGCCTTGCACCTAACAAAAACATGCCCGTTAGGTTGACAGGCAACGAGGAGTAAATGGCTGTTAGTCTGTGTTTGTGTACGCCAGGAAGATTACATTAAAAAATAAACTTTCA